ATTTCTCTTAATAATAATGACCAGCCAAATCCCCGTCTTACGAACATTTCTCTTAATAATAATAAGGACTAACCAAATCCCTTTCTTACAAACATTTCTCTTAGTAATAATAATCACTAGCCATATCCCCGTCTTACGTACATTTCTCTTAATAATAATAATGACCAGCCAAATCCCCGTCTTACGAACATTTCTTTTAATAATAATGACTAACCAAATCCCTTTCTTACAAATATTTCTCTTAGTTATAATGACTAGCCATATCCCCGTCTTACGAACATTTCTCTTAGTAATAATGACTAGCCATATCCCCGTCTCCCGAACATTTCTCTTAATAATAAGGACTAACCAAATCCCTTTCTTACAAGTATTTCTCTTAGTTATAATGACTAGCCATATCCCCGTCTTACGGACATTTCTCTTAATAATAATGACCAGCCAAATCCCCGTCTTACGAACATTTCTCTTAATAATAATAAGGATTATCCAAATCCCCGTCTTACAAACATTTCTCTTAGTAATAATAATCACTAGCCATATCCCCGTCTTACGTACATTTCTCTTAATAATAATAATGACCAGCCAAATCCCCGTCTTACGAACATTTCTCTTAATAATAATAAGGACTAACCAAATCCCTTTCTTGCAAATATTTCTCTTAGTTATAATGACTAGCCATATCCCCGTCTTACGGACATTTCTCTTAATAATAATGACCAGCCAAATCCCCGTCTTACGAACATTTCTTTTAATAATAATAAGGACTAACCAAATCCCTTTCTTACAAATATTTCTCTTAGTTATAATGACTAGCCATATCCCCGTCTTACGGACATTTCTCTTAATAATAATGACCAGCCAAATCCCCGTCTTTACGAACATTTCTCTTAATAATAATAAGGACTAACCAAATCCCTTTCTTGCAAATATTTCTCTTAGTTATAATGACTAATATATCCCGTCTTACGAACATTTCTCTTAATAATAATGACCAGCCAAATCCCCGTCTTACGAACATTTCTTTTAATAATAATAAGGACTAATCCAAATCCCTTTCTTACAAATATTTCTCTTAGTTATAATGACTAGCCATATCCCCGTCTTACGGACATTTCTCTTAATAATAATGACCAGCCAAATCCCCGTCTTACGAACATTTCTCTTAATAATAATAAGGACTAACCAAATCCCTTTCTTGCAAATATTTCTCTTAGTTATAATGACTAGCCATATCCCCGTCTTACGAACATTTCTCTTAATAATAATGACCAGCCAAATCCCCGTCTTACGAACATTTCTTTTAATAATAATAAGGACTAACCAAATCCCTTTCTTACAAATATTTCTCTTAGTTATAATGACTAGCCATATCCCCGTCTTACGGACATTTCTCTTAATAATAATGACCAGCCAAATCCCCGTCTTACGAACATTTCTCTTAATAATAATAAGGACTAACCAAATCCCTTTCTTGCAAATATTTCTCTTAGTTATAATGACTAGCCATATCCCCGTCTTACGAACATTTCTCTTAATAATAATGACCAATGGAAATCCCCGTCTTACGAACATTTCTTTTAATAATAATAATGACTAACCAAATCCTTTCTTACAAATATTTCTCTTAGTTATAATGACTAGCCATATCCCCGTCTTACGGACATTTCTCTTAATAATAATGACCAGCCAAATCCCCGTCTTACGAACATTTCTCTTAATAATAATAATAAGGACTAACCAAATCCCTTTCTTGCAAATATTTCTCTTAGTTATAATGATTAATATATCCCCGTCTTACGAACATTTCTCTTAATAATAATGACCAGCCAAATCCCCGTCTTACGAACATT